ACTGCTCCCGCCACGCCCACCCCCAGAAAACACTTGGCCTAGCAGAAGGTAGGCTTCCACATGCGACCAAGAGCAAAGGCAGAAGTTCCAGGGGACTCCCTTAGCGCCCTCCGTGCTAACCGCTGTGTGTCTGGTTAAAAGGTTCTCCCACACAATGGGTTATTATCTTTGCCTAGAGAAGCAGGCTATGAATATCTAAGATGCTGTCCTCAATCATATTCAGAGATATTTCCAAGTTGCAATCAGGAGAGCTTTCCTAATCGGAAGTCTGATCATTCCTGTGGTGGCTGTGATATGCCCTGAGTGTAATTAATTTGCTCTGTGGTAAGAGATATGCTAATCATTACCACTTGGTAGATGCTGTTAAAACCTTATGAAAGATACATATGGAAAGCTGTACATCCCTAAACAGAAAAAAATATTACAGTAATTTACAAGCCTCTCAGCTCTAATTAGTGTCCAATTCTAAGTGGGTCAGCTCCTTGGGATGACGTCAGAGGTTTATTAGTGCCATATTCTTCCTTTTCCTCAGCTGAATGGCTTATAATTTACTCTCCCTCTATCTCAAACAATCTGTGATGTCTAAAGCACATTAGTAAAACACTATTACCCAGCAAAACAAGCCACCTCCTAGTCCCCTCTCTCAGTCCTTGAGTGTCCATTCCGGTGTATTCAGTTCTTCCAAAACAGGAGGGACTCACCCAGCCCTTTGGAGGGTGATTTGTCCAATCAGTGGTTAGAAGAAATTTAATTAGGTCGTCATGCGTAGTGATGAGTCTTAGGGAGCATGCCCCTCTCCCCACTGCTGCTGAAAACACGAAGACAGTGATCAGGAGTCAGCCAGGCTTCGTGCCACAGGGGCGCCTGGGTACGACTCTGACACTGTCCCCACAGTAGAAGGCAAATCATCTCCTAATCTTGCTGTATGTATACTTTGTTTTGGGTTTTCATCCCTGGCTTATTTTGTGGCTTTAAGAGTGGATTGTGTTGTGAAGCTGTGATGCTGTGGCCAGTACTGTGGTCCCTGTCAATCACCATGGTCCCTGTTGTCTGTGGTCCTGACTTGCTCCTCCCAACAATGCCGTGTATGGACTAACTTATGTTTCTTGTTCAATGAAGTTAATGTCTTGTGTTTTTGTCCAAAATTATATTGAAAAAGATAAATATTATATTGTGTAATGCAAATTGAAGGAATGCAATAAAGAGTAAATATACTTGAAATGTTGTATAGACAAGTAATTTATACCAAACAGCACTGATCACTGATTGGACTATGAAGAAGGGGGGCTCAGAGGAGAAGCCCCTCCTTGTTTTGTTACAACTAGGACAGGAGATGGATAGTTTTTAAGGAGCCTGGAGAGATGGCTTAGCAGTTAAGAGCACTTACTATTCCGGAGGACCCAGTTCAATTCCCAGAATCCACATGGCAGCTCACAACTGTCTATAACTCACACATGTAGTACCCAGATATATGCATGTAAGCAGAGCACATAAAATAAGTTTTAGGCCAGACTGGTGGTGCACGCCTTTAATCCCAGCATTTGGGAGGCAGAGGCAGGCGGATCTCTGTGAGTTTGAGGCCAGCCTGGTCTACATAGTTCTGGGATAGCCAGGGATCTGTAGAGCAGTGGTTCTCAACCTATGGGTTTTGACCTCTTTGGGGTTAAATGACCCTTTTACAGGGTAACCTAGATCTTTGAAAACACAGATGTTTATATTAAAATTCATAACTAGCAAAATTGCAGTGATGAAGTAGCAACAAAAACAATTGTATGGTTGGGGTCACCACAGCATGAACTGAACTAAAGGGTCAAAGCTAAGCATTAGGAAGGTTGAGAAGCACTGCCGTAGAGAGATCCTGCTTCAAAAGAAAAAGAAGGAAAGAAAGAAAGAAAATATTACAAAGAAAGAGTTCCTTCACATATGCAAATATACAGGAATTTTCATACTTGTGTTTGACATATGCAAATATACAGGAATTTTCATACTTGTGTTTGATACTTATTTTACTTAAAAATCTGAGCTCTGAGGCTGTGAACTCGGTTAGTAGAAAGTGGAGGGAAGCTACGCTCAGTGGCGCGGACGGCTCCTCCTCTGAAATGTGCCACCAGGAAGACGCCTGGACCCTGATGTCTTTCCATGGCTCTCTTTGTTGTCCTTCACTTTCTGCATTTCTCAGACATCAGCTGCCCAGCCCCAGTCCTTAGCACAGGTAAGCCCAGAAAAGAGAAGAGGCTAGCTCCAGCAAATCTGGGGACAGCAGTTGCCCCACCGCAGCTCCAGGAGGAGGCCCCAGGTCTCCTTATCTCCAATCCAGAGCGTAGCCACTCTGATGAACCATTCCTACATAGTTTTTCATCCTGGTATTAAAAAGTCCTAAGTTGTCCAAAGAGATTATCTTATCCTTACTAAATGTCTTCGTTTAGGGTGCTTCTCCCCCCCCCAATGTAATATTTGTAGTTAGTATCCAAAATGTGTTTTAAGATTGTCTTTATTGTAGCCTAAAAATTACAGTGAGCAACCTCTAAGTTTGAACCATATATCACGGAATTATGGAGGAGATTCAATTATGTCTAATAATCGAACTCTCATCAACAGACCTGCGGAAGCAGAGTCAGCTGTAAATAGCCACCTGACCAAACACACAAGGCGAGGGCAGGATTTCAGTTTGCTCGCCTGATAGCTGGGCCACCCTCTTCAAACAAGTGACTCGACGAGGTTTGTGAAGAGTTCAAAAATTCGTGTAAACTTTGGAAGTTAGTGCAAAATGAAAGCCACGGGCAACTACTGAGGTTGAGTCCCAGTGACAGCCCAGGAGGGTGTGAGCACGATGACGCCATGGCATCAAGATACATCGATAACACCTGTGATAGCAGGAGACCCAAGGAGGTGAGAATGGGATTAGCGAGGAGGATGGGGTGTGGTGGTGCACACCTAAAATCCCAGTACTCAAGAGGCAGAGCCTGGAGGATCAGCACAAGTTTGAGGCCAGCCTGGTCTATGTAATTCCAGGATAGCCAGTACTGCAGAGTGAGGCTACGTCCACTCTGAAATTGCAATGGCATGTATTTATGATTCTCCAGCACAGTCCATTGTTTGGGGATTAATTAGTGCTGAGATAATTGTTTGCCTCCCAAATTCTGTTAAGCCAGGCATGGCAGTGGAATACTGTTCTTTATCCTGAACTAACTTCCTGAGTGTAGACCCGCCATTTATGCTACATGCTCAGTAACACATGAGACAACCGTCAGATCCACCTAGAACAACCACACCCCATTTGCCTGGCTTTTCCTGGCTTTCTCCTAGCTCCTCTCCCTGTATTTATGCGTCATCCACGAACACAACAGTCTGTCTTCAGAATAATGTGGCTTTGAAGAAAACCTCACCATATTGTCTGTCCCCTTTTATTTTCTTAATATTTTTGAAACTATTTTTTTAAAGACAGGGTCTCACTATGTAGCACTGGCTAGCCTAGAACACAGAGACCCACCCATCTCTGCCTCCTAGGTGCTTAAAGACATACACCACCATGTACAACTTCACACACTTCCATTTCCCAGTGTTGCTAACTAATGTTCAAACACAGCTATAAACCGAATTCTCTTTAATAGAATGAATGACCATAGGATGCATAGAGACCATTTCAACATTCAGCAATCTTGTAAAATTTTAAAAAATAAAACCCAAAATACTGGGAGAGAAGAGTATTTACTTCATGGAAAAGTGAAATAAAAAAATAGCCAGTTGAGCTGGGCATTGGTGGCGCACGCCTTTAATCCCAGCACTTGGGAGGCAGAGGCAGGTGGATCTCTGTGAGTTCGAGGCCAGCCTGGTCTACAAGAGCTAGTTCCAGGACAGCCTCCAAAGCCATAGAGAAACCCTGTCTCGAAAAACCAAAAAAAAAAAAAAAAAAATAGCCAGTTGTCCTGCCTCTACCCTCAAGGTGCTTCACACAAGTGGGACAAGATTTCTAGGGCAAACGGTGCTTGTGTGGCCATTTCCAACTGAGGGGTGAGGCAAGGGACCTGGTACTGACAGTCCATCAAAAATAGATGGCTTCATTTTCTGATGATGCGATGCGAATAACAGGTATTTCCAATGTGGTAGACCAGGAGAAAGCAAGGAAGGAAGCAAGGAAGGGAGGGAGGGAGGGAAGGGGAGGGGAGGGGAGGAGAAGAAAGGAAAGGAAAGGAAAGGAAGAAAAACTCTTTAGATATCCTCTGAATTATTGTGCCAGGAACACTGACAGCCCAGGACCATATATCATAATAACTGCACGCCTTTAATCCCAGCACTTGGGAGACAGAGGTAAGTGGATTTCTGTGAGTTCAAGGCCAGCCTGGTCTACAGAGTGAGTTCTACAGCCAAGGCTATACATAGAAACCTTGTCTTGAAAAACAACAACAAAGATGACAGGGTGAGGGCCTCAGGTGACTCTTCCTGAAACTCCAGCCCATGGAGAGTGTCCTTTCCCAGAGTTCCCAGCAAGTCTTTTGTCCAAACCAACCTACAACTCCAATGTCGATTGGCCCAGAGCTAGGGCAGGACACACCATCTTGCCATCCTACTTACCTCTTCCACAGTTCAGCTGTTGCAGAGCTGGCAGGGGAACAGCCATTTCTGATCCAGCTTCGTTTTCAGTAGAGCAATTCCTCATTCCCCACCAGAGTTGGGAACGTGGTGAAGAGGGGAGTAAGACAATGGCTGGCCCTATGACCCACTGACCTGGGCCAAATCTTGTAGAAATATTTGAGACCTCAACATACATGTTGAAAATATTCAAGACTGAACGGATTACTGACCAGATTTGTTCTTCCCAAATTGGAAATTCCTTGTTTGATGCTGACTTAGTATCAAGCAATCCTTTAAGTCTCATGTCACACCTGCTGTCTGTGACATCTCATCTTGCTTAGAGAGCAAAGGAAATGATCTTAGTTTGGCCACGACCTTCAGATACCCTTGAGCTAAAGATGAATCTGGAGACTCCACACACTGTAGTATATCTGTTTGAGGTTTACCTTTTCTTTAATGACTTAATGGAAAAAAACTGCATGATGAAATAGATTTTCTCCAAATATATATATATTTATATAATATATAATCTTAGTTAACTCAAAGGTATATACATTGTATAATAAATAATATTTATAAAAAGAGACTTTTTGAATATAAAATCAAAAAGATCAACAACTTCTACAACTTTTTACAAAACTTTGGATACAGCAGGTTGGTAGGAAATTCCCATTGGATACTATTACCTGACTATGGCAAGGATAATTACAATGCACTCATGTACTATTATTAAATAATTACTTGTCAGCTACTTGAATACGCCCCAGAAACATGACTTTATCACTTTTAATATAGAATACAGAGATATGAAAGACTTGTAAATTTTTGTATCTGTTCTGCTGAAGTGTCGTCATATGAGCAAGCTTTATCCAGTTGACTTGATTTCAGACTTCGGGAAGGAGAGATGGGAGGGGACATTTGGGGTTCCAGGAAGGAGTGGGAGGTGTGCCTTGAGCAGTGCTCATGGTCACAGGGTGGACAGTGCAGGCAAGGGCTTACTTGGGCCTGCTTGTCAAGCCAACTGCACAACAGGAAAGAGTTAGCAGACCCCAGACAGAAGGGGTAAGGACAAACCCTTGTTCTGCTCCATTCCTGTCCTGTCTCCTCTTTCTGATCTTAAGAGAGTTGCTGGACTGATCCATGCTGCCACTGCCTCACCCCAGGCAGGGCCATCGAGCATCATAACTGAGCTGGGAGCCGCTTGATTCACCTGCTTGCCTCTCTCCAGCATCGAACCCAGACCCTTGGGAACTGAGATAGGCTACCTCACTGGCAGGAGGGGGACGGGCCCAGGTAGGGATCTCTTGCCTTTTGGGTTATTCAAGCCAAAAGGAGAAAAGGACTCACAAGGGAGCCGGGAATCTTCACCCTCCCCACCTGCCAGCTGAAAATTTGGAACTGCAAGATTGTTGTTCCCTCACTGGTGGCATTAGTTAACTAAGGTGTCCAGCTGTTCTCCCTAGTGTCTGCTGGTGAGCGGGGCTGAGAATGATGAGCAGTCTCCTCTTTCTGTAGGTAGTACATGAAGCTGACAGAGACTTGCCTCCACATCTAACCTATATACAAGGTCCACCATGAAAAGCATATGCAGTAGCGGTGAAAGCGCAGGACAGAAAAACACGTTGAGATCTGACTATCTCTATTGCAGAGCAGGGCTATCAAAAAAAATGAGCCTAAGAGGAACTCAGCTATTTTGGCTTCCCAGGTGGCCCAGAATTCCGTTCTTCAAAACTCAAGATCCTGCTCCAACAACAGCCCAGGGCCTCCCCGCCACTGCATCCCTGCTATACTATGGCTTTTCTCAGAATGGGAAAGTGTGTCCAATTTGAATGGGAGTAGATGGACGAAAGGGGACTGCAGGGCTCTGTCCTATTTCACAACTCCCACCTCAGAGGCATCTTGGAATGTCACGAGTGGAGGCAGCTTGGAGACAGAATCTTGCTATGCTCTTATCTTTCCCACCAGGCCAAGAGCTCGCATTAGCCCAGCCTGTTCTGTTGCAGTAGAATTTTTTTTCATTTTTATTTTCTTTAACATGTGCAAAGGTAAGCCTCAGGTCTGTCCCCAGCAGACCCTGGAAAACCAAAACAGAAAGCCCCTCTGTAAAGCCATACACCATCCAGAGCAGGGTGAGAAACGTTAGATGAGAAAGGAGGGGCCTCCCGTCCGAGGCCGGCTGGGTCCAGGGCGTTTATCACATGCAGCTGGCAAACAGTCCATGCTCCTTGCCGGCCAGTGCCGAAGACTGGCCCAGATCTAGATCCTGCTTCCCATGGGACTTCGATGAATGGATCCAGCCGCACAATCTACCCCTTCCCAGTGGCCTTTGGGAAATAAACAGGAAGAATCAGAGATCTAATAACTGCTGTCGACATCACCCCCTGGGATGCAAAGATCACAGGCTGCTGACACTGCTAACTCTGCCCCCTCCTAACCTAACCTCAGAGCCTGCTGTGGAAGGACATGCCATCCGCAGGAACAGTAGAGCCTGCATCCACAAAACTCAAACCTCCTTCCAGCTCAGGAAGCCCGCTGTAAGTAACGACTGTCCTATGTAGACATGAAGAAACCGGGTCGTCTAAGGAACCAGTCAGTCCCCAGAAGGATTCGTACCACCAGACATATGCTATGTGTTTCTGCCCCCGGCACCAGCAGCTTGCTGCGAATTGTCCAAAAGAAAGGGAATCTATGTAACTAATTATGATGAATCCCTTCCCACTACTGAGAATGTTAATTCCCTCTGTTCAGTCCTATCCCGTGGAATTTGAGGTACCAAGGCCACCTCCTAGGCACCCCCAGCTCCCCTCAGCTGCAGAAGTGGCAGAGATGAACCAGACAGAGAAAGATGGCCTGGCTATGCTCAAGGTTCCACAAAAGACTAGTGACAGACCCATGATGTATGGCCAGTCAGATGAGGTGACTGGGCCCATAGCTTTTCCAACATAGGGATAAGAAGCACAAACTTGATGCTTGTAACTATCAGCATTCAGGTACCAAGCCAGGGGCTGACTGGAGACAGTGGACAACACTCAAGCAGTGAAGAAAGTGTCTTCCCCACTTAGGATGGACAAGGGTGCTGTCACTGTGCTTATGGACGGTATGGAGGGCTCTGCTCTGTGGCTCCTTCTCTGCCTGTTCTGCCAAGAAAAATGCCAGAGACTCTCTCTGCCTGCTGTCTCCCTGCCTGCTGGTCTCTTGGGTTCCATCGGTAGTAGCATCTACAGGGCTGAGAGAGTGGGAAGGAAGCAGGTCTCAACCAGCTTCAGACAAACCAGGCTGCAAGAGCCTAGAGAAAGTAACTCTTGTCCAGCCCTGCTGGGCCTCAGAGACTCAGAGGCCTCTGAGCACAGGACCCCAGGCCAGACTCTTCATGACTGTGTCTAGGCTCCCAGCAGTCCTGCAGGGCACAGATCTTCCCAAGGGGAAACCAGGGCTCAGAGAGGCAAAGGACATCACAGTGAGGGAGCTCCCTTCTTATCCGGAAGTGTGGGATTTGAGAGCCCCACTATGTGGCAGGATTGAGGCTGTGACCTACATGGTCTTGAAACCATGTCTGCAGGATACTGGAAAAGCACCAAGTGTCTATGGTAGAAAGATAAAGAAAGGGAGCTGCTTTCTCTCCTCCATAGCACTTGAGAGCAAACCCAGGGTGCAACAAGTACTCTACTACCCAGCTACACTGGATTCTCCTTAGGGGATTGTTTTTAGTACAAGGGTTGGATTGAAGCAATTTTCTGGACATCAAAGGCCTACCCAGAACTTCCTTCTCTGCCTGGAGGAGTCCAGTTGCCCACAAAGGCAAGGGCTGAGTCTGTATCGGGGTCTGTGTCTGGGACCTACACTGCCCCCATGGGTCCAGTATGAGGTGTGGACTGCCAATGCTGTGGCCTTAGCAAGCAGACTTAGGGGGCAAGCACGTGAGTCTGTCTAGGCCACTAATTCAGTCTGTCCTTCAGTGAAATGGGCAGGCTAGACAAATGGCCCGCCTACCTGGTCAGTAGGAGACTACACCCACAGCTCCTCAAAATGGCCAGAGCTGGTATCATCTGACTGGGGCGGCAGGGATACTTCTTGCCATAGTGGGTCTCAGAGAAGGTGACCACCCATGCTTTTCTGACATTCCTTCCACCTCAACACTACTGTTAGCCTCTGAGTCTCCGTACTCGCTGACTTTTCTCCTATCCTTCCAAAAAGCAGAAAGAATGCCAAGGTGGTGCCGTTCGTTTGCAGCAACCCCATGCCAAAGCTCTCATGGCCTCTGATACTTCTAACTAGAGCTAGCTTCAGAGGAACATTCACACCCGCTGACTTAAGCCTTATAAGTGCTCAGCAAGGCTCCCCATTCCACCATCACTGTGCATGTGGGGCGGGCAAGGTTCAGTAGCAGGCAAGTGAGTGCTCAGGCTCAACGGCTGTTCTTCCTACCCTTGACCCTGATACGGAAAACTCACCCCTCCTGTTTGGTTCTAGACCCTCCTGGGATGGAATGTAAGCCCCATAAGGAGCTTCTCAGATGGGCTGAGAAGGGTATCACCCTTCAATCAAAGGTAGTTCCTGGGATGTCAGATACCCCCCCCCCAAGCCCTACACGGTGCAGACACAAGCCACCAGCTTCTGTGTGTCACCGGCTCCAAGGTGAGCAGGTGGAATGCACTGCCCCGGCCAGCCATAAACTGAGAGCAAGCTGCTTTTCCATCAGTCAAGCCCCGCCCAGGTGTTCTTTCCCTCTTCCCCACAGCAGCTCAGGAGAGGTAACAGATGCTGAAGCCAGAGTTGCTGGTTGACAGTGGGACCTAATTGCAAAGCCTGCAGTGCACAGCACACCCTTCTCAGGGGAGAGGAGGATGGAGAGAAGGGCCACACTGGCCTGAGACACCTCCCCTGTCAGAAGCTCTAGGACCACTCTGCTTCTAGGCTGACCTCCCCTGGGTCCTCCTACGCATGCCACCCCTGGGAAGCTTGGGAGCTAATCCACCAGGCCTTTTATCCCATGATTACTCACCACAGTCACTCTGAACTGGGATCCTTTCTCCTTCCCATCTTCCCATCTCCCTTCATAAACTTGGTGAGAGTGCTCCCTGCCCCACCCAAGCTTCAGATCTTGCTCCCCCCACCCACTCCCCCAAGCTCTGGAGGATTTGTGCTAGGTCAAACCTTTCCCTCTTAGTCCATGGTTGATGTGAAATGACTCTGCCCCAGGGTTTGAGAGACTTTGCAGCCCACTGTTTCAGGGTTTTTTTTTTTTTAAGACAGGGTCTCACTATGAATTCCTGGCTGTTCTGGAACTTTCCATGTCTACCAGGCTGACCTTGAAGTCACAGAGACTCGGTTGCCTCTGCCTCCTGAGTGCTGGGATTAAAGGCCAAGACCACCATACCCAGCTCCTGTTTCTGGCATTCGAACCTCTCCTCTTTGGACAGTAAAGAAACTAAGGCCCTGAGACATGAAAATTAGGGGCACAGCTGGGACCAGACCTCAGCATCTCTCTTCTGGCTGCACAGATGCTCAGTAATGGCAGCCAGCAGCCATGAACAAATCTGGTCTAGCTCATCATAGCTAATTTGTGTCAGATTTTTTAAATCAATTGCCTGTGGCTTATGCGCGCACCGTCGGTCATTATCTAAGCCTGGTACCAATCTGCTACATCACTGCCCAAGTCCATCCCCATGGACATGTGGGAAGCCCTGGAGCCCTGCTTTGGCTGGGGGAACTTGTTTGGCTCGGGACGCTTAGCAACAGGAAGGCAGGCCTAGCAGAGGGGCGGGGAGGGCAGCCCTGCACCCTACCTGGCTCCCTACTTGCAGGTGTGCACGTCGTAGATGCGGACACACTCTTGGCAGCTGACGTAGCAGCACCAGTGGAAGACGCAATGGCATTTCTCTTTCCGCTTCTCCGTCCTCGTGTTGTGGCCACGGCCACAGCACAGCAGATCGCAGCCATCGATGCCATGGGAGGTGACATTGCAAGTCCTGTCCCTGGTGCCAAAGGACCCCGTCTCGGGGTTGGGCTCACAAAAGTTGGGGGAGTTCTCATAGTAGACTAGGTCCCTCTCAGTGGGTGGCTTGAAGAGTGCATACTTGGCCCGCAGGGTCTCCACCCAGCCTCGGGACTCCCGGTGCTTCTCCACCACCATCTCCGAGGCGCTGTCATACTTGTCCTTGAGGAAGTCGCCAATGGCACGGAAGTCGGGCTGGGCCCACCAGCAGGTCTTCACCTCACAGCTGCCTGACAACCCGTGGCATTTGCACTTGAGGTGCATGTGGTCCAGGATGGTCTGAGGGGAAAGGAGCAGCAGCTAGCCCAGTCTGACCCACCCGGGGCACCCTCCCCTCTGTGCCACACCCTCCTTTACCCCTTACTCCATGTCAGGAAGAACGGATGGGAACCAGTGTCCCTAGTCACACCCCAAGCCCTGGCAGGCTTCACATTCACATCCCATCCACGCAAGCAGTGAAACTAGGGGATGAGCCACCTGCAAGGCAAGGCTGAGCTAAGTGATGGGCTCAAGGTTCCACAGCCATAGGGAACAGGGAGGGCTGGACTCAGAAGTCAGTCCCCACCCCACAACCACATCACAGACCTACTAGACAGCCTGCCAAACAACATATTAGAGCCTGCAGTTGCTTGCTCCTATAGAGAGGGCAGCCACACTCCCTGGCAGACTTACTTCCCCCAAAGAACCAGGAACAGGTTGATTTGATTTGATACCAGAACCTACATAGCGGGGAGAACCGACTCCTACAAGTCGTCCCCTGACTTCCACACACACATATGTATACACACAGACGTGTATACACACAAGTCGTCCCCTGACTTCCACACACACACATATGTATACACACAGACGTACTGTATACACACAACGAACAAACAAATGTACTTAAAATTTAAAAGTGACAACCCACTCAGGAGCAGTTGGGAGAGAGAAAGGAAGGTGGTCAAGGGGGTACTATAGGGGTGTGGATGGGATCCTGGGCCAGGAGGGCCGGGGATCCCTGGTGCCCGCCACCCCCCAGAGTTGTGGGTAGCTGACTCACCGTGCGGCCTGCCTCGTTATTGTGCTTGTTCATAGCCGAGCGGGCATCAGGTCTGTTTTCCCGTGCATCCGCAAACTCCCGCGACACCAGCACCCCGAAGTCGGCGTCCTCGCTGCAGCCTCCCCACTTCCAGCCTTCTCCGGGTGGCCCCTTATGATGCGAGTCACAGCCGCAGATGGTGGAGGTACCCTCGGCGCAGGAGCGCGTGACAGCGAAGGCTACACCAGCCGAGGCGATGGCATGCACGAAGGCTGATTCGCGGGTGGCTGCAGACGGATGTCGGGAGAGGACGCTTAGGCTGGAGTCTAACACAACCTTGCCTCTGGGGGCTGGGAAAGAGCTCAAGGCTCACCAGTCACCTAGGGAAGAGCCAGGTGCCCTCCTGCTCCTCTTTAAAGAGTCCAACCCTAATTAGTATTCTTGCTTTACGAATGGGCAAACTGAGGCCAGGGCTGCAATAGTGCTATGATTGAAGGGTCTCTGATGGGACAGGAATGATCACTGATGAGCTAAGATGACCATGCCCCGCCTGACTCTGGGTCTCCAACCTTAAGTTTTATTTATTATGAATACAACATCCTGACTCCATGTATGTATGCATGACAGAAGAGGACACCAGATCCTAGATGGTTGTGAGCCACCATGTGTATCGCTGGGAATTGAACTCAGGACCTGTGGGAGACCAATCAGTGTTCTTAACTTCTGAGCCATTTCTCCAGCCCCAACCTTACACTTTTCACACGCACACCTTCCCAAAACAGTTTTGAGCCCTCTACTCGGGGGACTGGAATCTGCAGCCTAAACCTACTAATCAGCCCATGTTCCACCGGAATCTCGGTTCCCCGAAGGCAGATTCCTCATTAGAGCTTCGTTATTACACTCTGTAAAAATGGGTGCAGCTTCTCCTGCCATAGTTGCCCACTCCCCGTCCACATCCTTAAGAGCCACAGGGGCCGAGACACAGGGCAGTTTTCCTGCCTCTGGCCCCAGAGTCCCGGGAAGAGGAAATGTCGCTAGCCTTGTCACAGTGAGAGTCATCCTCCTGAATGCTGCGCACGCACAGATCTGTCTTTCGGGTGCTTTATTCCCTAAAATGTTCTAAACTCTATTTTATAGACAGCACTGCGAGACCAGAGGCCCAGCATCTCTTCTTATAGGACCCCAGAGCGGGTAGTGCCATGTTGCACAGGAAGACTGACCTAGGACTCCTATGCTAGATCTTGGCCCATCCTTAATACAAGGTCCTCATAGCCACAGCAGCCTCTGCTGGAACGATGCCCTCAAGCGCCACCTGCACAGCAGGGGCGCGTCCCACTTTCCCCGTAGCCTGGCGGGGATCGCGAAGACAGAGCTGGAGCAGTAGCGCAGCGGGCCCGGGGGCAGTGCGCCGTGGTGATCCGGGCCTCTAGGCCCGCGCGCCCCAGGGGAGGGCGCCCCTGGCTTCCGGCGACCTGGCCCCGCCACGCTCGGTTCCCAGCGCCGAGGCCGCGGGGGTAGCGGGGGCGGGGCGGGGATTAGCCTGGGAGCGGCGCTGCCAGCCCCGCTGTGCCGGTCCCCGTCCGGCGGGGCCCGCTGCGCCGCTCAATCCGCCTTTGTTCGCGCGGTGTCACACCGCATTACCCGCATAATGCGGCCGCCGGGCCCCGGCCGCCGGGCCGGCCGCCACCGCGTAGCAACGGGCGGCTCCCGCGGCCGGGCCGCGCCCCCAGCCCCGGCGCCGGGCAGCGCGATCCCCGGGAGGCGGCGGCCAGAGGGCGTGTGAATGGCGCGGCGACCGCAGCGGGCGCGCGGCGGGGGGCGGCGCTCGCGCCCTCGGGGAGCCGCGGGGGACCTCGGCCTCGAGCCTTCCGGCAGCCCACCCCACACCTGCTGTGGGACTTGAGCAAAAGTGGACAGGACCCACCGCCTTCATCAAATCCCAATGTCTCAGCCCCATATCCCTTGCACACCGGGGCACAAACTGCCCTCTTGCCGTGGGACCAAGGCAGGTGGCACAACCCACAGCGAACCGGTATAAAGCTGAAAGGTCTGGGTGAACGATGTCCTGGGCGGGAGGCGTCTTCAGAAGGCCAGTGTTGCTTTTGGGGAGGCGTCGGGACGCCGGGCTGTTTGATTAAGCGCTACCTGGACTGAGGTGGGGCGCCGGAAGGCAGTGAGACCAACAGGCGGGCGAGATCAGGTTTGAAAAGCCAGCCGCCGCCGCCACTTGGCCCCAATTAGAGGCCAAACCTTTTATGTAAACAAGGAATAATTAGCTTTGATAATAGAAGCGTAAACAGAATCATCATCCATTGATTTGCTAATTGCCCTCCTGTCCCATGACAATAGCCTGCGTCTTTTGCCTGTAGGTTGTACAGACCCTTCGCACTTGAAGCACAGGTGGGGGGGGGGGGGGGGAGGGAGCGGAATTCACTCCAATCGGGAGAGTAGTCACCTCCCCTCTCCCAAACTCAGCTCACCCCTCCTCTTCCTGGCTGTGGATGCAGCTTTTACCAATTCCTTCTAAGAGGAAGAGCTTCCCCCCCCCCCTCCCGCCATCTCAGCTAGGGTCATTAAATTCCTGGACACAAGAGGTTCTGGAGCCAAAGTCCCCTTCTTAGGAGCAGTTGCCCCACTCATCTCTCTCTTATACCCCATGCACAAAGTCGCCCACTAGGGTCACAGCTGTTTACACTTCCAGGTCTCAAGATAGCTGAGAGCGGTCTACAGGCCACCAGTTTACGGGCATATCTTGCTTTCAGGACATGGGAACCAACAGGAACTCTCAGGGGACCCTTGGAGGCCATGCAGTGCTACCAACACCAGGCAGCTTCCTCAGATCCTGGAGACTTTTCCATGGCATAACACCTAAGCCTGGCACCATCCCACCCCCGCCCCAAAGCTCTATTTGCATAGCACTTAACACAGCATAAGGGAAATGTCGCACATGTCCACATCAAAGCCTGGGTCCCCGCTGTGTCAGCCAGGAAGGACGGCTCTGGGCTCCTTGGTGCCTGCCCTCCCGTCTCAGGACTCATGGCTACCCAGCCCCCAGCAGCACTGGAGAAAATGTGATGTGGAGACGGCCTGGTCAACCCAGAGATGGGCCCCACCCACTTTCCGCCAGCTTTATTAACCTCCTAGGGAGATGTTGGACTCAGAATTTCCCACGGTGGGAGGAGGGGGGGCAGGGTCCTGGGACCCTTCAGGCCACCTCCACTCTCCCAGGCACCTCCCGCCCAGCCCCCGGTGAGTACCTTTGTCCAGAACAGGCCCAAAGATGGCCAAGCTGTCGTCTATGGTGGTACAGTTCCATCGGCGGCCCCGGAACTGATGCTGGCACTCCTGGATGCCCAGCTTCACACCTTCTGCTACACTGGGCATGATCTCGATGTAATTGCGGCAGAAGCGCAGTTGCTTGGGGACCAGGCCTGGGATGGCGCCGCAGAGCAGAGGCTGGGAGCCCAGAGATGTGTACTGCTGGCCCAGGGCCAGGGACCTGCAGGCAGACAACGGGATGGCGCTGTAGACACAAAGCACATGGCCCAGGATGGATGTCACGTCTTCACAGAGGAGGGAGTGGAGTGGGGGGGGGGTACGATCCACGGCTCTGAGAAGCCTGGAACCTCATGTGCTGCTTTTGACTTCCTTGGGAGACACGGTGTCCCACAAAGGGCACAGCACTGGTGTAGGCAGTGTCCCTCTGACATGGGCACATCTGATTTGTGGGGTGTGGGGAGCAGCAGAGCCTCTGGTGGAGGAGGCACTTTGTGGGTTTGTACTGTGTCATGAAAATAACCCTGGCCTGGAAATGTAGCATTGGGGCTGAGATCAAGTTCTGCCCAGTGCCTGGTGGGAATTGCAGGACTCCTGCTGAGCAATCTCCCAGGGACTCTAGGATTCATGGGACACGTGGAGACTAACAGCCATTTGCGGGAAGGAATCCAAACATAAAGGACAAAGGAAGCAGAGGCCATTGTGACTCCAGTTCCCTCTTAGGAAAACAAAAAACAAACAAAAAACCCAACCAAACAAAAAACCCAAAAGCACAAGTCTCAGCAGAGCTTGCACACACACAGACACACACACACACACACACACACACAATCTCTGATGGCATCAAATGCTGTCTACTAGGGCTTCCACCACCATCTTTATAGTTCCTCAGAAGTTTCTAGAGTGCCACCTCCCTCTCACCAGAGACAGAGAGGCTCTGTTTCATGCTTATTTTTGTTTTGTTTCTCTGGAATTCACTCTGTAGACCAGGCTGGCCTTGAACTCACAGAGATCCACCTACCTCTACCTCTGTGCTGGGACTAAGGGTGTGTGGACCGCCGGGGTTTTTTGTTTTGTTGTTTTTTGTTTTTTTGTTGTTGTCGTTATTTTTTGTCGTGAGTAGTTTTAACTCAAGAGCAAAAGGAAAATCTCAGCAGACGTTTCCCCCAACCCTGTTCTTCAGTCTAGCTGCCCACTCTTCCACCCCTCATTCTTCAACCTGGGATTTTTTATATTGGGAAGTACATGTGGGGGGCAGGATTAAATATTCTAGAAAAATCGAGGCACTGCCAGAGTCTCTAGTTTTTCCTTCCCTCTTCCCAAGAAAGGGACAACAGAAATGGCATCGTGGGTGGCCTCATGAGAGAGAGGGCAGTGTCCTAGAAGAAGGTGACCTGGGCATTGGCCAAGGTCAAGCCTTGGATGTAGGAGCCTTGGGAAGAGGGCTGGGTGCAAGTCTCTGGAGAGGGTCAGAAGAAAACACAAAAGCTTCCTTGGTTAGGCTCTGGTGAACCAAACACTGGTCATTTACAGACTCTGGTTACTCAGCATCTTACACTAAAACAGGCCTGGTCAGTTTTTTAATATCTCTGGCCCCAATGAAGAACGCTTGCCTCAGGCTTCTTGGGAGCAAGTGTGTGACCAATCAGCATACGCTATGGGCTGCCTCCTAGCATCCTCCCCACACACTAGGCGCTCACTCAGAGTCTTGCTCAATCCAAAGACTCCAAGAGACACAGCACACAGCACCATCTCTTCCAGCAGCCTCTGGCCTCAGCTGTCGGGGGAAGGAGTCCAGGTTTTCCCATTTGTTGATTGGGAAGAGGGCCTAGGGAAGCAGAACTGGGGTTTTGCATTGGTGACTTTAAGGAGCCATGTCCAGATCTGAGTATCCCCAACCCCAACTTTCAGGGCCTCGTGCCCTGAGCCGCTTTGAAAAAGCAAAGCCTCTGGTGGTGCATTCCTATAATCACAACACTTGGGAGAAGAGGCTCAGGCATCGTGAGCTAGCCTGGGCTACAAGAGACTGTCTCATTGAGACAACAAGAGTAGGAAAGAAAGAATGAGGTCACCGAGGCATTAATGTCATACCGTGATGGCTTCCTTCACTAAGTGTCCTTTCCTCGAGTTGCCTGATAGCAGCCCAGCACACAGTGAGGACGTCACTAGCCGCATAGACCGCAGAGTCAAGGAACTGCTGTTAGAAACTAGACTGACTGGCTCCAGAGGTCCGGAGCAAGCCGCCCATCTCCGCCTTATGGACAATGCCTACCTGAGTGCCCAGGAAGCTGGTGTAACTTCAGGCCTAGGCTGTCTACACCTTGGTGGGTGGCTCATGTCTAAATGGGACACAATGGTGAACCCAGAGTCTCATGGTATGTAGCACATGACGCCTTGGAGGGAGCCCACCCTGTGTATAGAAGAAAACACCTAACATGTGTCAAAGGTCTGACCTGGCTGGACACAGTTCTAAATGCTTATGTCTCCGACCTGTTTAATCCTCATAGATCTGTGATGCAGAAACTCATTGTCGTCATCAACAGCCTCCCATCTTGTAGACAAGGAAACCAAGGCAAGGAAGCTAAGTAACCTACCTGGATCTGCAGGGCTCGGAGTGCTGGAGCTGAGCTCTGCTCCTGGCATGTGTTCTCTCTTCTCTTCCCTCCTCACAACCCCTTACCATGCCCTTTCCCAGAGTACAGCCCTAGTCTGCCACTCACCCCCATGTCATTAGACAGGAAAACCTAGCAAGGGGTCAATATGGATGTCTCATCACCCTGAGTTATGCTCACTCCAAACCTGTCCCCTTAGCCTGGCTCACACCCAGCTGTCTTCTTCACACTGCCTGTCCAAGCAACTTCTCCACAACCCTGTTTCTCCATCTGTGAGACAGACCTCACAGCAGTGGAGGTAGACAGCTCAGCGCCGGACGTATCAGAATCCCCCAAGGAATGGTGGCTCCCACAGGCTCCATGCCCTCAGTGCTTTGTTCCTGCCATGTCCTCATTTCCCTGACTTGGTACAACACACCAGAATTCCCCAAGCTGCCTCCCGTCAAACATGAGAAGGAGGCCTCAGGACAGAGCTGAGACCCTTCACCAACAACCCTGACAGGGCTGGCAGACCACATCCCTCTGACTGACTGTCGGGTCACTCTGAGCAAAGCCATGTGTGACTTGGATGAATGTTCCAACTAACCAAAGGGCATGGGAGCATTTCCAGGACACTCTGGTCAAAGGTCTCAGTGGATCTGAACATCCTGTGGTAATTAACCAGGGCCTCTGGGGACGGGGCTCAGATCTATGGACAGCTTTGGTCTCTTGAGGCTGTGGCCTTGGGATTGAATTCTGCAGGACAGCTGCCCTCCCAGACATACCCTGCCGGCCCTAAGCTGTGCCCACGCAGCATGGCTGACATTCCGCCGTCACAGACATATCAGTGTAACCCACTTCTTGTCCCCATTACAGAAAAACGTGCCCCCCTGGGAGAATCAGCATGAGAGCCTCCTCTTCTCCGTCCCTCCCCAGGGTGAGCGGCTTTGATTAGATTTGCCTTCAGGCTAGCTTCACACCTTTTGCACATGTCAGACCTCCACCTGAGTGCCTCTCTGCAGCCCACACCCAAGGCAAACCCATCCTGAGTCACTCCTGAAGACTTCCATGAGCTCCCAGGCAGAAGTAACCTCTCGTAGCCTGCGTTCTGCACCTCACCACAGAAGGCTGGCTAATTTGTTTGCAGCATGTTACACGAAGAGGCGTGTCTTTTATTGCCCCCCCCCACATACATACACCAGCACACTTGGGCTCCCAGGCAAGAAACAGAGGATGCCCCAAAGAGCCGGCCTGATGCCCCCACTCGGCAGGTTCCAGGCAGGCGGCCGGAGGTTGCACCCACACACAGGACAAGACTCCTCGGTTCCGCTGAGGGACTTCCTACAGTGAGGATCTGAGATGATGGCCAGGCTCCCAAAAGAGGTTGAGGCACGGCTGGCACCAGCAGCTGGTGAGGGGGAGGACAAGACGGCTTGCCAGGCCTGCCCTGCTGGGTAGGGGCTATTTATACCCAGCTCCTGTCCCTTTCTTGCCCTGCTCTGCCCAAGGCCCTGTTGCCTTCAGCCCCAGGGACAGCTCATCCTTCATCCCAGCCACCCACCATCCAGCTGGGCTCAGACAGACATGAGCAGCCAGATGAATGGGCCATAGGTGGCAGCAAGCCATAGGCCCATCATAGGGAACATGAGAGAAATGCCACTCTCCGATCAGGCCAGCATGAAAACATTTCCACGGCCTTGTCAGGCCCTCACTGCCACTCAGTTCTTCATCTATTCAGACACCTGCGGATGGAGGGCTATGGGTGGGTGTGCATGTGACAAGATCAGACACGAAAAGTTTTCCTTGCTTGAGAGGAAGCCTGAGACCTTGCCGGTGCTAGGCAAGGGCTCTACTGCTGAGCTACAGCCCTAGAAGTCGGTGCTCTGAGACAAGACCATAGTCTGTAGCCCATTCGGGCCTTGACCTTACAATCCTCCTGTTTCAGACACCTGAGTACTAGGATCACAGGTGTGCACCCCACATCCAACTCAGACACAACAATTTTAATTGGCTAGTTTATATTCTTTATTTACACATATAATTAATTAGGAGGAAAATGGGGAAAAGACCCGCTATGGGTCCCAAAGAAAGCACAAGTGACCTGTTAGTATTTTTCATGGTGAGAAATAGAACTCTCTTGTTTTGCTTTTGTTTTAGAGACAGGGATGAATGTAGTAACCCAGGCAGGCCTTGAACTCCCTATGTAGCCAAGGAGGATCTTGAATTCCTGAGCCTCCTGCCTCTACCTGAGTGTGAGGATTGTTGGCATGAGCCACCACACCCAGTTTATACAGTGCTGGGGGTCAAACTCGGGCCTTTGTGCCTGCTATGAAGACACTCTGCCAACCGAGCTTGGAGAATTCAGGGCAACCTAGCTGCTGCACTGACTTACAAAGAGAAGTGTCCCTGTGGCCTTAAATACCTGCAAACTCCCACTACTCCCCAGCATGCCTGAGCCCCTGCTGGGCCCAGGATGGCTCTGCCTGTCAACACCAGGCTCATCCTGCAGGTAGCCGGTACCAAGCCTAGCTTGTTTTGTTTGCTTTTAAGTTTAGAGCCTCCCAGCGCATGATCTTAGAGCTTAGGGAGGTGTTGGAGGTCACCAGGTTCAGTCTGCTTAACTGTTAACTAT